TTCCTTCCTTCCTTCCTTCCTTCCTTCCTTCCTTCCTTCCTTCCTTCTTTCCTTCCACCCTCTCCCTCCCTCCCTTCCTTCTGAGAGAAAGCTGCTCTTTTTTTTTTTTCCCCCATAACTCATTTGCCATAGGGCTTACATTCTCCGAGATCCTATTTGCTTCTTTCTGGCCATACTCAAACCTCTCCTTTTGTGAGAATTATGGTACTTGGCTTTCTTTTTATTGTCGCTTACTGACTTCTTGGTCATTTAAGGAGCTTGTCCCATTACTCACAGTCTTCCTCTGCACCCAAATTCCTGGCATCATAATAGGCAATTCTAGTCTTTATATAGATAGTTCATTCCACAACCTGGCCTCTCAATTTCTTGAGCTCCTTAGCCTCAATGATGGTCCCCTAAATCCTATACTACTTACCTATCAAGGACACATCCTGAACTTTGTCATCACCTGGAAATGCTTTGCCTCTAACATCTTCAATTGTAGCATACCTACTTTTGGTCGGAACCTATATTCTTGCACTTCTTTTACTTCCTTCCTCCTACCACACCTGTTACAGTTTTGATAGAGACTTTCATTCCCTTCTCTCTTGCTTTCGTCCAAGTTCATGCTTTCCATGATAACTTCACTTCCTCTTTTAGCCACACTAGACCACCTAACCACTCTCTTCACAACACCACCATTGTCTTTAGGCTTTCATTCTTTTGCCACATCAGCTTTAAGAATCTCATACTTTGGGGGGCACCTGGGTGGCTCAGTCGGTTAAGTGTCCGACTTCGGTTCAGGTCATGATCTCGCGGTTTGTGAGTTCGAGACCCTTGTCGGGTACTGTGCTGACAGTTCAGAGCCTGGAGCCTGCTTCGGATTCTGTATCTCCTGTCTGCCCCTCCCATGCTCATGTTCTGTCTCTCTCTGTCTCTCAATAATAAATAAATGTTAAAAAAAAAGAATCTCATACTTTGGGGGGTGCCTGGGTGACTCAATCGGTTAAGCATCCAACTTCAACTGAGGTCATGATCTCATGGTTCATGAGTTCAAGCCCTGCGCCCGCTTTGGATTCTGTGTCTCCCTCTTTCTGCCCCTTCCCCATTCATGCTCCATCTCTCTCTGTCTCTCAAAAATAAATAAATGTTAAAAAAAATAAAAAATAAATAAAAAGAATCTCCTACTTTGGTCCAACTGAAGGATATCATAATCATGTGAAAAGTTGCCATTACTGATTTATGGTGTCTGACTTTGGTTAGACTCTTGGCACTTCTCAGCAAGGCTTTCATATATTCCTCATCAACTCTAGTTACTGTTCTCTTATCTGAATTATCCACCATCATTAACACTTTCCTTAAAGTCCTCTACCCCACCACTGGGTCCTTTCTTTTAGTAGATGATCCTGTTTCCTACTATACAGAGGATGGAAGGTTTTAGATGAAATCCTCTGAATTTTACTTCCACGTCTACCTAGATTCTCTATATCTGTATCCTTCCTGACTCAAGGTCTGCTTGTCTCAGAAAAAGAGGTGGCCTCAGATTCTTACTCACATATTTAACTGCCTAAGGTTCAGTCTCCCTGGAACCTCAAACTCAGTATGACCAAAATGGAAACTGTATCTCTACTTCTAAATGTATTTTACTGAATTACATATTTTGGTCAATGTCACTGTCACCCACTCAACTACTCAGCTCAGAAACTGAGGAGTCGTCCTTCATTTCATCCTTTTGCTCTAGCTCTATACAAAATCTACAGTAACCAAACTCTACAGTTTCTATAGCTGTAACATCTCTTCTACATGTTCCTTCCTCTCAAGCCTCACAGAGAATGATTTACTTCTACTCTTTACTGTCATTCACCTGGACATTTACAACATGCTTCCTAGTTTCCTTGACTCTATTCTTGTACATACACCTCCCTCAATCCTTTATACTGCTGCTAGAGTAATCTTTCTAATTTACAAATCTAATTACATAGTCCCCTGCTTAAAATCCTGGAACAACTGCCCCCTCTGTGCAAAATGAAAGTCATACTTTTTTACTAGGTATTCAAGGTCCTCCGTGAGTTGCCTCCTGTATTAGTTTCCTATTGCTGTAACAAAACAGCAATTACCGAAAACATGGTGGCCTAAAACAATACAGATTTTTTTTCTCTTACAGTTCTGGAGGTCAGAAGGCCAAAATTAGTTTTACTGAGTTAAAGTCAAGGTGTTAACTGGGCTGGTTCCTTTAGGAGGCTCTTGGGAAGAATCCATTCCCTTGCCTTTCCCACTCCTAGAGGCCACTTACACTCCTTAACTTACTCCCCCTCTTCTATCTTCAAGGCCAGGAATGGAGCATCCTGCTTCTGTTGTCACATTGCCTTCTACTTTTTCTGTCGTCAACTCTAACCTTGCTTCCCTCTTCTAAGGACACTTGTGATTTAGAGCCCAACTGGATAATCAGGGATAACCTCCTCACTTCAAGATCCTTAATCACATCTCCATGGTCCCTTTGGCTGTATAAGGCAACATTCATTCCCAAGTTCTGGGGATTAGGACCTGGATATCTTTGTGAGTCATTACTCAGCCCACCATATCCTGCTCCTTCCTCTTTAAGTTTATTCTTTGCCAAACTCCTGACAGCATTTATGCTGTAGCTAGCTACCCCCAATTTTTTCTAGTTCCTTAAAGCATCATACAGTTTCTCATTTTGGTGCCTTTTATTATTATTTTCTTCTCTATCAGGAATGCCCATCCTGCTGTGTCTGGAAAAACTGACTTATAGTTTAAGGATCAGCCCTTGTGTTGACCATTCTATTAAAGCATTTCCCAATTTCTCTTCCTCAGGAGCAAATGACCATTCTCCCTCTTCTTTACTTTGTATAGGTTTTTAACATCGCCCAATAACATCTTATTGCATTTATTTATATGTTTTATTTTTCTTGCCCAAGCTACATGACCTCCTGGATGGTTGGCTTTTATAGATCCACACTTGAGATGTACAGATGTTTGCTAATGAGGTAATAAAGATCTAACCCACCTGTAAAAATATTTCCTTCATCCATTACCACATTCACTTCAATCTTCCCCTCATCTGTAAGAGAAGACAGGATTTTGTGCCCAAAACAAGAGTAGAAATAGAAGAAAGACAAAGAAGCCACACACTGAAGTACAACACAAAATTCAGCAAATTTTAATGATTTGCTCTAGAATTTTATCCTGTTTTTTATCAAATGTAAATGTAGAAAGTCTAAGCTCTGATTATAAAAAAGATACTTAATTTCATACGAAGACATCAGTATTTATTCTATTAAGACAAACTGCACATAGTAGAGTACTGCTAGGCTGACATTTAAAAAGTAGCCCTCTCTATTTTCAGATCAGGAAGAACTCCATTTTACTGATTATGAGGGTGACAAGCACTGTAAAAGGGGTAAATGCTCCAATAGGAAAGATCTGACTTGAAGCATTAATAATGTCTATTTCTGTACTGAAATGACAGGTGACATTTGGCTATGTTCTTCCACTATCCACATTCAACATGTATTTAAAAAGCTTGATCAACCTAAATGAATTTTAATATTTTTTTTTAATTTTGTATTTTTTAAAAACTTTATTTTGTATTTTCCTCTTAAATGAGGGTATTTAGAAGGAACCACCTGATAGATTGTCAGTGCCTCACAGGAAAATGTCTCATCCATTCTCATGTATTTCAATTAGTCCCACAGAAGACTTAGGATGGTCTGAGATGGGTCTCTAATGCTGCTTCCTGTGGGCTCACTGACCTGAAGAGGGGTACTCAGGGAGGTGGCTGACACTTCCACAACCAAAGTCACTGTTGTGGCATTCCAGTAAACTTTCAAGATACCTGGAAAATGTGGTAGCAAAAAATATCTACATCCTTTCATAGGCAGATCAAAAATATTGGGAAATTATATATTTCTAGTAATAAAAAAACTGTCCTATGGAAAATTCACTTTTTCTGGCAACAGCAAAGGCATAATTAAGTGGCATTGTGTTGAGATGAATATAGACTGGCTGTTATTATTACTACTAATAAAAACTCTATGCTAGGAACTTGCAATGTTTAGGAATGGTAGCCATTATTCTGTTTTTAACAGAAGGGAACTAAGACTCAGAGGGGTTCATTTGACCAATCTTGCACAGTTAGCAATTTTCAGTGCTGAGATTCAAATCTGTGTCTCATTCCAACTTCTAAATTCTTTCCACAATGCCATTAATCAGAGGAACAAGTGGAATTAATCTCAGGTTTTTGCTGTTTTTCCCATGAGAGTTGTTATCTTGGAAACTTTTCTGAGTAGGTCTTGTGGGTCTTGTATTATGGGGTCATGCTAACATATGCTAGGTGTGAATTATATAATGGCAAAGTACTTTGAAAATTATTCTCTATCTTGAAATTGTTTCTGGTAGTTCAGAATCTACTCTAGGTAAATTTTTTTTTTGTCTCTCTTTTAACACTATTTCCTCCTTATTCTATTTGCTTACTTTCAAACTTTTCTTATCAGATATTCCCTCCATTCTTCTTCTTTTTTTTTATCTTCTTCTTTTGGTCTGATTATAATCTCATCAGTGCTCTGGCATGTTGCTAAGCTTTGCTGAATCTGTGGATTGGTAACTTCCTAAGCAAAGATGAATTATTAGAGTATTCATTTCTAACCATATTCATACATATATCTAGTTGAATGTCATGTAGGTATATTAAAATCAACATGTCTAAAACTGAAACTACTCTCTTGACACTGTAACCTGAACATCTTCCTGAATTCTCCAATTGGCTTATGATATGACTGATGACCTAGCCACCAAAAGGTCTCTGTTTTCTTAAAATTCTTATTTTTCATAATTCAAATGTAATCAGTCATCAAACCTATTCATTTTAATTCTAAAATATTTCCCAAATCTCTTATCTGTCATTAAGTTTACTTCCCTTGCTCAGGCCTTATCATCTCTTGTTGCATCATAGCAATATCTTTCAAATTTGAGTCTTCGCTTCCAATAGTGCCTCCTACATTGTCATCAGTATTGACTTCCAAAAGAGAAATACTCTAGAAATATCACTGCCTATAGGATAAAGTCTAAGATCAAGGAGAAAAATAGACAATTCAAGAACAATAGTTGGGATTTCAATATTCCACTCTCAATAAAGGATAGAACAACTAAATAGAAAAATCAGTAGCATAAAGGAGACTTGAACAATATTATCAACCATGAGAAATTCTTTAGGATATACCAGGCCATAAGTCTCATTCAATTTAAAAGGACTGAAATCATAAAAAAAGTATGTCCTCTATCGTGGAATTAATTCAAAATCAACAGCAGGAGAAAATTTGGGAAATTCACAAATATTTGGAAATTCAAAAACACATTTTGAAATAACCCATGGATCAAAGAAGAAATATTGGAAATTAGACAGTATTTCTAACTGAAAATGAAAACACATCATATTGAGATTTCTGGAATGCAGCTAAAGTAGTGCTTTGAGGAAAATTTATAGTCATAAATAAACACCTATATTAGAAAAGAAAAATTTCAAATTAATAATCTAAATTATCATCTTAAGAATCTAGAAACATAAGAGCAAATGAAATCAAATGTAAGCTGAAAGAAGGAAATAATAGAGATTAGAGCTGAAATCAATAAAATGGAAAGCAGAAAACCAGTAGGGAAAATTGATATCGGCTCTTTGAAAAGATCAACAAAATTGACGAATCTTTAGCTGGGTTAACCAAATAAAAAGAGAAAAGACACGGATCAAAATCAGGAGGGATGACATCACCATCAACTCTACAAGAATTAAAAGGATTATAAAGGAATACTGTGAACAACTTCATGTCAACAAATTAGACATGAAATGGACAAAATGCTAGAAAGGTACAAATTACCAAAACTAATTCAAGAGGATGAAGGCTCAGCTCCACAGCATAGTATAAGGTCTTTCCAGTCTCGGCAGCCTACCTTTCCAGCCATGTTTCCTGTTTCTTTACAACATGAAGCATATATTCTAGCCACAAGGAAATACTTGCTGCTCTCCTAACATTCATGAATTTGCATGATTTTATGCTTTTGTATGCATTGCTTTCCTCATCTGGAATGCCTTTTATCTCCCCTCAGGTTATCCTTGAGTTTTCTCACATAAGTAAGCACTTGCAAGTATAGGCTCTATATGTACTGTACATGTAGCCTGTGGGTGGGTGCTTGTTTGCTGTGGGTTGTCCCAGCTTTCTTTTCTTTTTCTTTTTATCTTTATTTTTATTTTTATTTTTTGGGAGAGAGAGAGAGGGAGGGAAGGAGAGAAGGAGGGAGGGAGGGAGAGAGAGAGAGAGAGAAAATCCTAAGCAGGCTCCATGCTCAGCATAGAGTCTGATGCAGGGCTTGATCCCACCACCCTGGGAATCAAGAGTTAGAAACTCAAATGACTGAGCCACCCAGGCACCCCTCTTTTTAAAAATTTTAATTCCAGTATAGTTCATGTACAGTTATATTAGTTTCAGGTGTACAGTATAGTGATTCAAGAATTCTATACATCATCCAGTGCTCATCATGACAAGTGCCTTCCTTTAACCCCATGGAATGCCTTTTTTTTTTTCCCCTGAAGAATTTCTATACATTTTTGACAAGTCTTCCTCTGATTCTTTACCTGGTGAACTTAGCTTTTCCCTTCCTCAGGATCTTACTGAATGCATTTCTAGTATTATAGCACAACCGCGTAGTGGTATGATGGCCTGTCAGCATGTGAGACTCCTTACTAGATGCTGAACTCCTAGAGGACAGAGAACCATCATCTTCATTTTTATATTCCTAATAGCTTATGCATATTAGGCACTCAATATAGTCCACTGCAGGAATTGATGAATTCTTGAGGATTGGGTCTCTTTCTTTTTGTTTTTTAATGTTTCTGCACACTCTAAACATGCTCTCAGAAATTCTCACATACAAATGCAATGTTTCACCGTAGGAGCAGCTCACCATCAGCAGGCAGGTTGCTGAGCAGGTCCAAGTACTCCTCTTCTTCCAGGTCAAAGCCCATATTTTTCATGAAGAGTCCTAACTGATTAACATTAAGCTCCACTCCTTAGGGAAACAAAGGATGGAAGTGAGAAGGGCAAACAATAATGATAAAGTGAAAAATGCTAGGCATGTCCATGCATTAATTGGAGGGACAACAATCAAAGGAACAATAAATTTGCTTAAATGAAAAGAGATAGCATGGGAATCAGGAACAGAACCTGCTCTTCATTGTTGTCCAGAAGACTTGACTGTAGCTCTCGGGAGACATTTATAAGGAGAAAAATAAAGGATTGGCAAGTCTGATGAAGACTGTCTTTCTAATTCCTCTCTGGAAATGGGACTTGGAATGATAGAGACAAAAGTAATTCCTTCATAGGTAGTTATGTTAAAAGTAGTAAATGATGAGACAAAAATTTGTTAGATTGACAAATTTGTCATCACCAAAAATAAATGTGGTTTTTAAAATGTAAATACGAAACATAAGGAATCTCAATTTTACCTGACTGCTCACTCACCTTTGAGAGACCTTATGCCACCCAGCAACTTATGCTTATACAACTTTCCAGCAGCTGTAAGATAGGGCACAATACAGTAATTGGTATGGGAACCTGTTGTAATAATTCAAAACCTAGCAATTTCAGAAAGAACAATTCTTATAGTTTTACTCATTTCCCCCCCCCCCCCCGTTTATTATATCCCAACTTAAGAGTTAGACCAATAGAAAAAGCTCTCAAGAGAATAAATCTACACACTACTTAAAAAATGTTTATTTGCTTTTGGGAGAGAAAGAGAGAGAGAGAGCACGTGTGGAGAGGGGCAGAGAGAGACGGAGACACAGAATCTGAAGCAGACTCCAGGCTCTGAGCTGTCAGCACAGAGCCTGATCGGGGGCTCAAACTCATGGTCCGTGAGATCACAACCTGAGCTGAAGTCTAATGCTCGACTGACTGAGCCACTTAGGTGCCCTGTACCCACTTTCTGATTTGACAGTTGAAACAATTATTAGTGGTGTCTTTTCATACCTTTCCCATGTCTCTCTTTTCATCTACTTCTCATTTTCTCCTTTTTTTGCTTAAGATAACACATATTAATGCTCACAGGGATAAGAGTAGATACAGTGGGACTCATGAGGGAAGACATGGATGATTTCTGAGCTAAAAAAACCTGACAACCATGACAGGACTTCTTTGAATATTAGTAATGAGTATTTCTACATGTTTTCCACGTGACATCACATAGATGTTGTTTTAGATATTTTCATTGACAAGCCCATGAAAATGACTCTTCTGCAAGGTAATCCCTCAGTGAGATGTCCTGTGCTGCCAACACAGGTGTTGTATTTTACAAAAATTCAAACATGGATTTCTACTCCCACATAGGTGGTGGACTAGCATGAATATCTGGTTCCTTCCCCACAAATCAACCCTGAAGAAACTGAAGTCTGAGCAGTGTCTAACCACTGCCCTTAAACCCAACAGGCTGATGTTCACTGGAGCCTGACCTTACACCTTTACCTAAAGCATATTTTCAAACATAATAATGATGCCCCAAGAGAACAAGGACTCACAGGACAGGACCAAAGTAGTCAGTCATCTGAGGAATATAACTACTTCAAAAACAAACAAACAAACAAACAAACAAACAAACAAACAGACTGAATAATGTATATCATTTGAATAAGAATTATTGGAATAAAAGGACCAGGAATTTAAAATAAGCATGACAGATATGCTTAAGGAGAGAAGATATTAGCAAAATATAAAAAAAAACAAGAAAATATGAAAAGAATCAATGGAAATATTAGGTATAAAACATTTGGTATAAAAACAATTTTAATTTTTTTAATGTTTATTTATTTTTGAGAGAGAGCACAAGTAGGGGAGTGGTAGAGAGAGAGAGAGAGAGAGAGAGAGAGAGAATCCTAAGCAGGCTCTGTTCTATCAGCATGGAGCCAGATGAGGGGCTCAAACCCATGAACTATGAGATCATGACCTGAGGGGAAGCCGAATGCTCAACCAAGTGAACCACCCAGGCTCCCAGGACACCCAGGCACCTCTGCTATAAAAAAGTTTAAATAAAGAAACACAGCGGATGAGATAGAGTACAAAGGAAATATCTAAAAAATTAATTAGTGGGTAGTTTGATCAGATTGAAGAATTCTCTCAGAGGGCAGCAGAAAAGGATAAAGAGGTGGAAAATGGAAAATTATAAGATATGCCTATAGAAGTAGCAGTGCTAATCTCTGGGTAACAAGAGTTCCAAAGGAGAGAAAAAAAATGATAAGGAGAAACTATTTGATGAAATAATAATTTAAAATCTCCAGGATTAAAGAAAGATGACTTTATATTAAAATAGCTCATATAGATTTAAATAGAAGATGGAAAATTCCAACCTAGATATACATTATAGTGACTTTAATAATATCAAATAAAAAGAAAATTCTAAAACTCTTCAGAGAGAAAAGGAGACCTATAAAGGAAGAAAAACCAGATTGACATCAGATTTCTCAACAATAATTCTAGATGCTGCAAGGCAATGGAGTAAAATTAATGGAGAAATATTAAAAGGGCTTCGAACTTAAATACAAATTGTTATTTAAGCATGAGGGCATAACCAAAATATTCCCAAGGACTCAAGGTTTATGATTCATCACACAGAGACCCATATTGAAAACTTTTTAAAAAGAAAGTACTCAGGGGTACCTGGGTGGCTCAGTTGGTGAAGAACTTGACTTCAGCTCAGGTCATGATCTCACAGTTGGTGAGTTCAAGCCCCCCATTGGGCTCTGTGCTGATAGCTCAGAGCCTGGATGGAGCCTCCTTCAGATTCTGTGTCTCCCTCTCTCTCTGCCCCTCTCCCTGTTGTGCTCTGTCTTTCTGTCTCTCAAAACTAAATAAACATTAAAAAAATTTTAAAAAAAGGGCAGTACTCGATAAGTAAAACAAATCTAGGAGTTGTTACAAGAGGTATGGAAGGGAAAAGTGACCAAATATCTGGTGAAGTATATTGATTTTTTTTAAAGTCAAGAGTAAAAAGAGTAAGAATATTATCCATAGTAACCCTGACTTAAATCCTAGTTAAATACCAACATAATTGGTATAGCAAACAAGGTAAGTTGACAAATAGGACATGAGAGTATACTAAAATCCTTGTCTTATTTGGGGGATTGATGAATTTAAGAAAGTGAGGTAAGTGGCCATGAATATGGGTCTTAAGGACAACCACTATAATTTTTCAACCTGTAGAATAAAACTTAATGAATCTAATGGGAAATATAAAGACAGAAAAAAGTAATAAGAATACTGTAAATGGAAACTATGAAATATTATAGCAGAACCATGTCCTATAAACAGTAATTATGAAGGAATTTATTAAGGAATTTAACTCAACAATTATAAAATATAGACTCTTAGATGATATTAAAAAATAAAACCAAACAGTATATTGTCTACAAGTGACATAACAAAAAGACAGTAAAACTTGAAAACAAAAGCATGGATATGAACCAAAAGAAAGCCAGAGTAACAGTACTATACCTGACAAAATAGGATTTAAGGCAAAATATATATTATAAGGGACAAAGAAGGATGTTCTCTTAATGGTGTCTTATAAGTCCTTAGGCCTTCTTTATTCCTTTTCATTTTCTGTCCATTTTGCTTCTCTAATTAGATAATTTCAAATGATCTTTCTTCAGGTCCACTGATTCTTTCTTCTGCTTGTGCCAGCTGGGTTCTTAAGTTTTTAAGCTCATTATTGAATTCTTCGGTTCAGTTATTTTATTTTTCAGCTCCAAAATTTGTTTGGTTCATTTTTACATTTTTCATCTCTATGCTGAATTTCTCATTTTGTTCTTGTATTGTTTTCATTATTTAAATTGTTTGTTTGACTTCTCTTGTAGCTCTCTGAGTGTCTTTAGAACAATTATTTTGAATTCTTTGTTAGGTAATTTGTGTATCTCCATTTCTTTGGGGTCAGTTACTGGAAGTTTACTGTGTTCCTTTGGTGGTATCATGTTTCCCTGACTCTTCATGATCCCAATAGACTTGTGTGTCTGTGCATTTAAAGAAGCAGTCTCCTATACTTTATATGGGCTGTTTTCAGTAAGGAAAGACCTTCACCCATCTTTAGGGATACACCAGAGTTGTTGCGGCTCTGGGACTAGTGGTACCTGATGCCAAGAGTGGAGATATGTGTTGACTCCAGGTCTGGGGGTATATGGTGTCTTGTCTGCTCACATTCCTGGGGTCCATGACATGAGCAACTCCATGTTCCTCAGTGAGAGCTATGGGGGATCCACAGTGGTTTCAAGGGCTTTTGGGGTCCTCAGTAGCACCTCCAGGTCCAGTGGCTAGGGAACAGGACAGGTAGCAGCGGTGGCTGGAGTTAGTGGTTTGCACATACTCAGCTGTGGGGCCTCACTGCAGGTGAGCCAGGGCTGGCTGCAGACATACTCATAGTAATGTGGGTAGCTGGCTTCTGTGAACACAAAAACCTTGAGCAAAAATCTTAGTGGCAAAATCTGCAGGAAGTCTGTAGTGGCTGTGTTGACATTTGCTTTCTTCAGTAGTGAAAGCTATTGGGGTCCTCTGTGGAGCAGTGTGCTGAGGTCTATAATGAGGTCCTCAGTGATGAAAGCTGGGGGTAACTTTCATATTTGCAAGTGCTATTGAAGTCATCAGCAGCAAAAATTGCTGGGGCCATTTGCAGATGAGGTCACTGGGAACTGTGGTTGCTCCCACTATAAACTGATAATGGTTTCCCTTTCCCTTCTTCCTTGTTCTTAGACATCTTTAGATGTCTTACCTTTGTTGGTCACCAGGTGAAGTGAAACGTAAGCAGGTCCTTTGTGCAGTGCCCCAAAGGCTTGGAAAGTTGGTCACTTACTCCATTCTCCTTTTCTTAGGAGGGGAACTCTTTTGGGCTGGGGAGTTTCCTCTCGGCACTGAGCAATGTTGGCCTAAGGGTGATGCAGGCAAAATGAAGCTGTTCTTTTTACTCTTTTTGTGTGGTTATTCATGGGTTTTCTTGATCCACTGTATTGCTTCAGGTTTTTAAGTGGACTCCTGAGCTCTCCCAGAGCTATTTTTGTTTGTGGATAGCTGTCTAATTGTTGATCTTTGTTGGGGGAAGGAGGCTAGGGTCTCCTACTCTGCCACCTTGGTGACATCTCTCCCCCAAGTAGTTTTTAAGAAATGATATTAACTTATAAAATTTTTTAAATGTTTATTTATTTTTGAGAGGGAGAGAAAGACAGACAGACAGACATGAGCTGGGGAGAGGCAGAGTGAGAGGGAGACACAGAATCTGAAGCAGGCTCCAGGCTCTGAGCTGTCAGCACAGAGCCCGACATGGGGCTTGGACTCATGAACCATGAGATCATGACCTGAGCTGAAGTCAGATGCTTAACTGACTGAGCCACCCAGGCGCCCCTAGAAATGATATTAACTTAAAAACAATGTTTACTTATTTATTTTTCAAGAGAGACAGAGAGAGAGAGAGAGAGAGAGAGAGAGAGAGAGAGAGAGAGAGAGAAAGCCAGGGAGGGGCAGAGAGAAAGGGAGAGAGAAATCCCAAGCAGGTTCTCCACTGTCAGTGCACAGCCTGAGGCGTGGCTCAATCTCATGAACTGTGAGATCATGACCTGAACTGAAACCAACGGACACTTAACTGACTGAGCCACCCAGGTGCCTCCAAAATGGTATTTATGTAGGAATTTTCTTCTGAACCTTTGCTCAGAAAATGTCTTATTTTGTGACATATCAGATAAAGGGTTACCATCCAAAATCTATAAAGAACTTATCAAACTCACGCCCCCCCAAATAAATAAACCAGTGAAGAAATGGGCAAAAGACATGATTAGACACTTTTCCAAAGAAGACATCCAGATGGCTAACAGACACATAAAAAGACACCCAAAATCACTCATCATCAGGGAAATACAAGTCAAAACCACAATGAGGTATAACCTCACACCTGTCAGAATGGCTAACATTAACAACTCAGGCAACAACAGATGCAGAAAAAGAGGAACACTTTTGCACTGCTGGTGGGAATGCAAACTGGTGCAGCCACTGGGGAATACAGTATGGAGGCACCTCAAAAAATTTAAAATAGAACTACCCTATGAATGGATAAAGAAAATGTGGTATATATACACAATGGAATATTATTAGGCCATCAAAAAGAATGAAATCTTGCCATTTGCAACAATGTGGATGGAACTAGAGTGTATTATTCTAAGCTAAATTAAGTCAAAGACATAGGATTTCACTCATATGTGGAATTAAAGAAACAAAACACATGAACATAGTGGAAAGGAAAGAAAAATAAGATAAAAGCAGAAAGGTAGGCAAACCGTAAGAGACTCTTAAATACAGAGAACAAACTGAGGGTTGCTGGATGGATATTGGTGGGAAAATGTGCTAAATGGGTGCTGGGCATTAAGGAAGGCACTTGGGATGAGCACTGGGTGTTATATGTAAGTGAGGGATCACTAAATTCTACTCCTGAAAGCATTATTACACTATATGTTAACTAATTTGGATTTAAATAAAAAATAATTAATTAAAAAAAGAAAATGTCATATTTTGAAATATGTGAGGATATGAATTTTATTCTCATACTTGATTGATAGGTTAGCTGGATATAGAATTCTAGGTTGGAAACAAATTTTCTAATAATTTTCAAGGTATTACACAATTGTCTTTCATCTTCAAGAGTTGTGGAGAAGTCCAATACCATTCACATACCCCCAACTTTCTATGTGACCTGCTTCTTTCTCTTTGGAAACTTTTATAATTTCTTTATTTCTGGTGTTCTGATTATTTTACAACCTACTCTGATATGAATCTTTTTCTTTCTTTTCTTTTTTTTTTTTAGTTTAATTATTTTTGAAAGAGAGAGAGAGTAAGGAAGCAAGCATGAGTGGGTGAAGAACAGAGAATCCCAAGCAGGCTCCACAATGACAGTGCAGATGTGGCGCTTGATCTCATGAACCATGAGATCATGACCTGAGCCAAATTCAAGAGTTAGTTGCTTGACTGACCGAGACATGTAGGAGCCTCGGGTGTGGATCTTTTCCTATTCTTTGGAGTGGTAGGTACTTGGTGACCCTTTTCAGCCTGGAGTCACATTCTTTCAGATTTGTAGACATTTTTTTAGTAGGATTTATTTTACAGTTTGTTCCTCTATTTTCTTTGTTTCCTCTTTTTGGGACTCCTTCTATTATTCAGTTGTCAGAGTTGTCAGACTGATTTTCTTATTTTTTTTTCTATTTTCCATCTTTTTTGTATTTTTGTTCCAATTTCCAAATTCATCTTCCAGCCCAATGAATTTCTAAATTTTTAGCACTTTTTTTCCCAAAGAGCTTTTTTCTTTAAAAAAAAAAAAAGTTTGTTTATTTTGAGAGAGAGAGTTTGAGAGAGAGAGAGAGAATATATGCAAGCTAGGGAGGGGTAGAGAGACAGGGAGAGAGAGAATCCCAAGCAGGCTCCACATTCAGCATGGAGCCTGACATGAGGTTCTATTTCACCAACTGAGAGATCATGACCTGAACTGAAATCAAGAGTCAGCTGCTTAACTGAGTGTGCCACCAAGGTGCACCTCCAAAAGAGCTTTAAAAAAGTTTTTAGAGTGCTCCTTTTTTTTCAATTAAAAAATTTTTTTTAATGTTTTTATTTATTTTTGAGAGAGAGAGAGAGAAAGAGACCAAGCCCAAGTGGGGAAGGGACAGAGAGCGGGTGTGACACAGAATCCAAAGCAGGCTCCAGGCTATGAGCTGTCAACACAGAGCCTGATGCAGGGCTTGAAATTGTGAACCATGAGATCATGATCTGAGCTGAAGTCAGATGCCTAACCCACTGAGCCCCCCAGGAGCCCCGTTACAAAATTTTTTTTTATGTTTACTTATTATTGAGAAACAGAGACAGCATGTGAGCTGTGAGATCATGACCTGAGCCAAAGTTGGACGCTTAACTGACTGAGCCACCCTGGTGCCCCATAGCGTGCTCCTATTCATAGTGTGTCCTAGCTTGTTGCACAGCCTCCTTTTCTTGTTTTGTAACTAGGGCTTTTCTCATCTTTCTGAAGATATTAGTTAAAATTGTTTTGAATTATTTTTCTGCTTTCTCCCTTGAGTATAGTAGTCTCCCCTTATCTTCAGTTTCACTTTCCCTGGTTTCAGTTACTTGTGTCAACTGTGGTCTGGAAGCAGATGACCTTCCTTCTGATGTATTATCCAAAGGTCAATAGTAGCCTAATGCTAATCACAATGCCTCCATAATTCATTTCACTTCATCTAATCATGTAGGCATTTTATCATCTCACATCATCACAAGAAGAAGAGTGAACACAGTACAATAAGATATTGAGAGAGACACAGACAGAGCACATTCATGTAATGTTTATTATGGTGTATTTTTATAATTGTTCTATTTGATTTTTAGTTATTCGTGTTAATCTCTTACTATGCCTAATTTATAAATTAAACTTTATCATAGGTATGTTTGCATAGGAAAAAAACATATATAGTCTGGTACTATCCATGGTTTCAGACATCCCCTGGGGGCTTTGGAACATATCCCCATGCATAAAGGGGGATTACTGTACTTCCTCCAAGTTCCTTCCTTTCTGCTAGCTCTTATTTCTGTCCTTCATGTAACAAACCTTTCTTACAAGTCATATGATTCTTGGTTGTTTCTGTTTAAGGGTGAGGTGTTTTTGTTTTAGTAGTACACATGTTATTATCTATTTTTTCACTGCAAGCTGAAGATCTAAGTATATGAATAAAGGATATTAGAATTCACTGCCAGCATCTAGGCAGGCCAATGGGAGAAGATGATGGGGGAATCTCACCATGCGACACGTTGACTTTCATGTAATTTCCTTGTTTCAGTAGAAAATTCACTCCCAACCTTGGCTGGGTCTGATGTCTGAGAATCTCCCCAGTTTAACCTCTCCAGAGAGTAAATCTCTATGCTGCATGGATAAGAAATACTTGCTTAGCTGTGGAGTGAGGAAGGGGATCTGTCGATTGCATTGATCTTTTTAAAGACTTTCAGCCATATCTCATACTCCTGACTTTAGAGGTAACTGGTGCCTCTATTTCCTGAGCTGTTTACAGTTTTGTGATGTGAAGTAGCCCTATTTTTTTAATATTTTATTTTTAAGTAGTATCTATACCCCACATGGGGCTTGAACTCACAATCCTGAGATTAAGAGTTGCGTGGTCTACTGACTGAGCCAACCAGGTGCCCCTGAAGTGGACGCCTTCTTGTTTGCTTCTCCTTTCAGGCTCAGTTTTCACCTCTTATGGTCTTTCATGCAATTTGTTTTTCAAAATTTAACTGACATCTCTTATCTGCTATAATATTCTCTTCTCTTAGTCTTTGTGGAAATATTTAATTTGTTTTAAAATTAAAAGAAAATTTTTATTTCTTTTACATCTTTTTGGTATTTTAGAAAGTGGTAAAGATAAATGCAAATATTAAAAAAAAGATTGCCATGTTTAGCCAGAAGGTCAAAATATGTATCTCTGTCTTATCTAGTCAACTAGATTATGAACATTTTAAGTGCAAAGACTCTGTGTTATTTTGAGCAGTGAGCTTCTGGCACATACCTTCATAGCTCCTGAATCCAGAAAAATGCCTTAAATATAGAAATCATTTAATAAACATAACTGGAGTTCTAAAATAGAAAATCTAATACTTAATATCTTTAGATTTTAAACATTAATTTTTTCATATTTTCACAGCCATTATTTGGTTATCTTCACCACCATCATCATAGATACGCATTGTTATTATCCTGTTCCACAGATAGATTATATAAGAATTATTGATTAGTTTGAGTCAAACTCATAAAGTACTTGTCCACATAATGTGAATGTGTACTCAGCATGAAACTGTGCATGGTTCCGAAACTTGCCATGGTTAGGTATCCCTCTTTGACTTTTTCCATGCTTTTACTTTTGGTTCTTCATACCCCCTACCATCAAACCTTTCAGGCCTATTTAAAGTAATAACCACTCTGTGAGGTCTTAGACACTCCAGGAATAGTTGGTCAATATCTCCTTTGCAGTTTCATAGCAGAATAGATATTTATTAATATTATAGCACGCATCACAGTGTATAGCATTTCTTTCTGTTTTGTACGTGCTGTCCATCTCTAACTGATGGGCTTTTTAGGACCTGGGCTATGCCTCATTCATCTTTGTAACCCTTTGTAGTATTATGTCTCATACCTTATGGCAACCAATAAACTTTCAGGGGGTGGATGAATACCTCATTGGTAAATTAAACACTCACCATCAAGTGGCAAACTTTTCATCAACACAGAGTTCTCCCTCAGTCTGAGTCTTAACCCAATGTTTTTCAGAATATTTTCCAGGTCTTCATAGTGAATTTCTTCCCCTTAAAAAAGAAAATAATGGTAGAGGGTCAAATTTCAAGCTTTAAATCATCATCATATCAACTATTTTTGTGTAGCATCACCCTCAAATATAGGGTAAAAAGTAATGGAAACATTAAGTGTTGTCTAATTACATAAAATTAGAAGGGAGATTCAGAAATAGAACTTCTTTTTGTAAAATGTTAGGAACAAGGAATTAATACAACATGCAGAAAGTTGGTATTTTAACAGCCCACTAAATTTACTGGTGTAAATAATTTTGTCAGCATGCACCATTTGCTATATTGTTTTATTTTTGCCTGAATTATGAGCTTGTTCATCTGGTCATATTACTGGTATGTGCAATCTGCCTTCGAATTTTGTCACTAGCACAGTAGAAAATAAAATTATACTATTGACACTCCAAAGAACATAGGGGTTGTTACTTCAACGTTATACTGTGGCCTTTTGCATAAGATGTAGATAGCAACTGATTATACTAATAACATTTAGTTTCTAAAGTTTTTCTTTAATAATGTATACATTACCAATTAAAAGAGATAAAATGACAGAATTATTATGTCATGGATAGGATAACAGAAAATACTTTAAAATGGATAAAGATTTGTTATATATGCACAATGGAATATTACTCAGCCATCAAAAAGAATGATATTGTGCCATTTGCAATGACATGGATGGAGCTAGAATGTATCATGCTAAGCGAAATAAGTTAGTCAGAGAAAGACAAATGACATATAATTTCACTCATATATGGAATTTAAGAAACAAGACAGATGAACATATGGGAAGGGAGGAAAAGAAGAGAAGACAGCAAACTACAAGAAACTTAAAAAAAAGAGAACAAACTGAGGGTTGATGGAGGGAGGTGGATGGGAGATGGGCTAGATGGGTGATGGGTATTAAGGAGGGCACTTGTAATGAGCACTGGGTGTTGTATGAAAATGATGAATCACTGAATTCTACCCTTGAAACCAATATTGCACTGTATGTTGACCAAAATTTAAATAAAAAACTAATTGGGATGAGGTGGCCAAGTGGTTAAGGCAATGGACTTCTGAATAAAAAAGAATTATTTTAATATAGGAAAAAAATAACTTCTTTTGTTAAGTATTAAGAAATTTTTTTTGAAGTGGGCTCCACCTCCAGTGTGAGGCTTGAACTCACAACCCTGAGATCAAGAGTTGGATCCTCTACAGACTAAGCCAGCCAGGTGCCCCAAGAGATTATTTTTATTATGCTTTATCATTATTTCTTCTCACTCACCTAGAAGTTCATGTACTTCATCCAGAAGTTTATCCAGTTTAACCCTCCTCTCATCTACAAGACAAGACAAAAATTAGGTATAGTTCCACTATGGACTGAAGTGTGTCCCCTCAAATTCCTAGTTTGAAGCCCTAACCTCTGATTTGACTGATTGGAGATAAGGTATTTAGGAGGTAATTAAGGTTATGAGGTCATAAGGGTGAGGCCCAACTCTGATAGGACTGTGGCCTTATAGGAAGAGGAAGATAACTCTTTCTCCTTCCGTCTCTCCATTTCTCCCCCTGTATCTCTCCCTGTCTCTCTCCCTCTTTCCTATCTCCCTGCCATGTGAAGACACAGTGAGAAGACAGCCTCTGCAAGCATGGAAGACAATCCCCATCAGAAACTGAATCAGCTAGTACCTTGATCTTGGATTTCCCTGCATCCAGAACTGTGAGAGAATACATTTCTGCTGTGTAAGTCACACAGACTATGGCATTCTGTTATGGGAGCCTGAGCAGACTAATTCAGGTTCCCATTACATAAAATTCTTAAACTGCAGAGTAAAGTATAAGGATTTAGCAGTGGCCTAAAATTTTTTTTCTAATTAGATATTTTATTTTCATACTGTAAAGCAAAAGGTCGAAAAAAGAAAAAAATCTAAATAAGATAGAGACATCTATTCTACTCCTTTTTCTTTTTGTGTTCCTCACTCATCAGAATGGAAGAAGAGAAATTCTTTCCATTTTTTGTTTTTTTATATCTGTTTTATTGAGGTATAATTAACAAATAAAATTGTAATATACTTAAGGTGTACATCCTGGTGATTTGATATATGTATACATGAGAGGAATCCCCCATCTAAACTAACACACCTATCACCGATTATATTTGTCTTCTTGTGTGTGTGAGGATATTTAAATTCTATTCTCTTAGCAAATTTCAATTATATAATACAGTGCTATCAACCTTATTTTTCATTAGGTCCTCTGTCCTTACTCATCTTAGAGCTGGGAGTTGGTGCCCTATTGCCGTTTTGTTAATAATCATTTTCTGGCTGTTTCATAATTCCTTTGATACTTTCTTCTCTTGATTTCTTCCTTTATAATTTGATTATTTTCAGGAGTGTTATGCTTAGATTCCTTTCTCTTTCTCTTTTGTGTACTGACTGTAGGTTTTTGCTTTGTGGTTACCAGGAGGCTTACATAAAACATATTCATAATAGTCTATTTTAAGCTTATAAGAACTTAACTAAGAATGCATACCAAAGGTATAAATTTCTATTCTCCTCTCCTTTTATGTTTTTGTTATCACAACTTACATCCTTTACCTTGTGTATCCATTAACAAATTGTTAACTAAAAATGTAGTTATAATTATTTTTAATACTTTTGTCTTTTAATGTTCATACTAGATTAGTAAGTGATATACCCCCTACTATTACATTAGAATATTCTGAAATTAACTGTACATTTACCTTTAGCAGTGAGATTTACATTTTCATATGTTTTCCTGTTACTAGTTAAGCACCCTCTTGTGTCAGTTTGAAGAAGTTTCTTTAACATTTCTTGCAAGGCTGCTCTAGTGGTGATGGACTCCTTCAGCTTCCGCTTGTCTGGAGAACTATTTCTCTTTCAGTTCTGAAAGACAACTTTGCCAAGTAGAGCATCCTTGGTTGGCAAGTTTTTTTCTTCTCTCACTTTGAATATATAATGTCACTCCTCTCTGGCCTACCAAGTTTCTCCTGAAAAATCTGCTGATAGTCTTATGGGGTTTTCCTTGTATATAACAAGTTGTTTTCTTCTTTCCATATTTAAGATTTACCCCTTGATTTTAACAATTGTAATGCATCTTAGTGTGGCTAGCTTTGATTTATCTTATTTGGGGCTACCTGAGTTTCCTGAATCCTCACGTCTGCTTCTTTTCTCAGGTTGGGGAAGTTTCCAGGAATTATTTCCTTGAATAGGCTTTCTGTCCTGTTCTCTCTCTCTTCTCCTTCTGGGAGCCCTATAATGTGAACATTGGTCCACTTCCTGGTGTTCCATAAATCCCTTAAGCTATTTTCACTCTTTTTCATTCTTTTACTTTTAGCTCTTCTATTTGGGTAAATTCCACTGCCCTGTATTTTGAGTTTGCTGGTTGTTTCTTCCACTTGATTGAGTCTACTGTTGAACCCCTCTACTGAATTTTTCAGCTGAGTTATTTTATTCTTCAGCTTTCTGATTTCTCTTTGGTACTTTCTTATGTTTTCTATCTCTGTGTTGAAATTCTCACTTTGTTCGTGCATTGTTCTCTTGACCTCAATAAGCATCTTTATGATCATTATTTTGAACTCCTTATCAGGTAAATCACTTAACTTCATTTCATTGAGGTCTGTTTCTGGACTTTTATCTTGTCCTTTTGTTTGGAACATATTCCTTTGCTTCTTCAATTTCCTTGACTCTGCTGGTTTCTGTACATTACATAAAAGAGCCACCTCTTTTAGTCTTTTTAATTTTTTTTTTAATTTTAAGTTTTTAATTATAGTTAGTTAACAGTGTTGTATTAGTTTCAGGTGTACAATATAGTAATTCAGCATTTCTATATATCACCCTGTGCTCATCACAAGTATACACCTTGATCTTCCCTTACTTCCCTCCCCTCTGGTAACCATCAGTTTGTTCTCTATAATTAAGAGTCTATTTCTTGCTTTGCTTCTCTCTTATTTTTTCTCTTTGCTTGTTTGTTTGGTTTCTTAAATTCTATTTGAGTGAAATTGTATGCTATTTGTTTTGCTCTGACCTATTTCTCTTAGCATTATACTCTCTAGCTCCATCCATGTTGCAAATGGCAAGATTTCATTCTTCTTTTTATGGCTGAATAATATTCCATTGTATGTATGTATGTATATATATATATATATATATATATATATATATATATAGCACATTTTCTTTATCCATTTATCAATCATCATCTCGATAGAGTGGTCTTATGTAGGAGGTAAACCTTATTTGTTCAGCTTAATGAGAACTCCTGGTTGTTTCTCAAACCCATGTGTTTATCTAAGCTGTCTTTGTTTTCAGGGGCTACCAGGAGTTGAGGGTGTGCCAAGACTTGTCAGTGCCCCAAAATGTAAGATCTCAGGCAGCACCTTGATGCAGGCTGATTTTTTCATTTTTTAACTCACCAAAAAGTATTTGCTGGATGCCTACATATATGCCAGGCTCTATTTCCAGTGCTAGAAATACAAAGCAAACAACATGAAGTCTCTGCTTCTGTTGCAGCAATTACCAACGTCAGAGCAACCACTGGGCTTTGAACAATTTCATTGAATAGAGAATTGAATTAAAACAGAAATTTATTTAAAGTGCTCTATCTCTTTGTTCCTTAGATTTATTTGGGTATCTTTGTTTCTTTGGTTATATTTTTAAAAGTCAGTTCTTGATAACCTGTTTTACAGAGCAGAGGCAATAATATTTATTTTGAGGTTTTTAGCTAGACTGCCCTCCAGATAATTTAGGGTGGGGCCATATTCCAATTCCAACAGGAGTTTTATAATCTTGTCTGGCTCATGTGTTACACATGTGAAAAAGAAATAGTTTCAGACAAGAAATAGGAGACTACTTTTTTGACAAGCATTTTGACAATGCTTGATTTCAAGCATGATCAGATCATATTAGATAAACTCGTAAACCAACATTTCTAGGATGCTCATCAAACTATTAATTAATCCACAGAATCATTTCAAGATACTAAAGATGTTAAGATGCTCAAGAAACTAAGACTTAAATAGAGTGCTTTGATCAAATGCTATTGCTGAAAACTATGCCAAAAAGTGCTATTCCTAGATAAATATACTAATTACATTTTTCTCTATATCATAAGGTTAGCTATTTCAACAAATTAACTATAGTGGGGGTTGCTTATTTAAAATTAAGATTCATAGGGGCGCCTGGGTGGCTCAGTTGGTTAAGCTTCTGACTTCAGCTCAGGTCATGATCTCACAGTTCCTGGGTTTGAGCCCCATATCAGGCTCTGTGCTGGCAGCTCGGAGCCTGGAGCCTGCTTCAGATTCTGTGTCTCCTCTCTCTACCCCTCCCCTGCTCATGCCCTGCCCTGCCTCTCTCTCTCTCTCCAAAATAAATAAATAAGCATTTAAAAAATAAAATTAAGATTCATAGCCTCCACCTAAAACATATTTGATCATAGTCTTGAGGGGGCAGGTAATTTCTGTATAATTTAAAGTTTGATACCTGTGAATTAATTTTAATGTGATTGTTAGATATATTCTGTATATATTTTACAATAGCACAAATAACATTTAACAGTTTCCAGCACCCTTCCCCATTTCTTTTTGTTGCTTTCTGAATTCCTTTATAATTTTCTCTCCCTACCCCTCAAAAATACTTTTTTGTTTGCTTTATTTTTTAACATGTTTATGTATTCATTTGGTTGGGGGAGGGGCAGGGAGACAAGAAGAGAGAGAATCCCAAGCAGGCCCTGCAATGTCAGCATGGAGCCTAACATGGGGCTCGATCTCACAAACTGCAAGATCATGACCTGAGCCAAAATCAGTTAAGCCAGATGCTTAACTGACTGAGCCACCCAGTCAGTTTAGCTTAATTTTTTAACTTGTTTACTTGATCCCAACACTGATTTTCATCTCATTTTGGTATTCTCTGGCATAGGAACTCTTCAAGCAGCAATATAAGCAATTATTGATATTTTATTTAAGATTAACATTGAGACAATATATCTCCATTCTTTAGGATTGGGTATCTATAAACTTCTGGCTTTTTCCATGAAATTAGTAAGTATGTTTAAGATCTTCCTACAGAGCTCGGTGTGGGAAGATGGCGGCGTAGGAGGACGCTGAGCTCACTGCGTCCTGCGGATCACTTAGATTCCACCCACACCTGCCTAAATAACCCAGAAAATCGCCAGAAGACTAGCAGAACAGATTCTCCAGAGCCAAGCGTAGACGAGAGGTCCACAGAAGAGGGTAGGAAGGGCGGAGAGGTGGTGTGCGCTACACGGACTGGCGGGAGGGAGCTGGGGCAGAGAGGTGGCCCGCCGGCCAAGCAGAGCCCCCAA